ATTGTGATGTCCTTGGATTTGTGCAATGGGAATCGGATCTTGATGAGATCACGATAATGAGATCGATTCACCTTTAAACACAGATCCTAAATAATTCCGGTCACAGGTTACTCGAGAGGGACATCGTGATAACCGGACAAACTGGTGTGCTGTATACCCATCTATATGATGGATGCAGCTAGTCTCATAGCTGCTCATGTAGGGACACTAGGGATACAGTACAGGTGCTCATTGGAGAATGAGTTCATTGATTGATCCGCTTATGGAATGTTGGATGGTTGATGATGCCTTATTGTCAGACAACGATTCCGTAGTCCTAGTGGTATATCTGGTCCTTAGACTTGAGACACCAAGGATGTCCTGTATAAGTGCTCCACTCTTTGATACCAGACTTATAGGTTTGGCTGTTCCAGATCTAGTACAGTTGGTCATTCGGAGTGGTAGTCGACCTTACGAGGGCTATTAAGTGTCAATAGAGGATCATCCACTCTCGGCGTCATGAGAGGAATATCCCATATGTTCTTGCTCAGACAAATCCCTGGCCAGGGTCATTCGGGTTGAGAGAGAAAGAGTTCTCCGAGAGAATCCGATTAGAGCGAGACTCAGAGTAGAAACCGTATGGGTCTGACAGCACCATGCTCGATATACGGTCTTTGGGATATTAGATGGATGAGGGACTATAGGTACACAGTAACTGAGGACAGACAGGTCCAATGGATTGGATTCCCCTATATCGTTTGGGGACTATGGCGTAGTGGCCTAGTACGTCTGTAGTCGATGAGTCAAGTGAATTATTACAGAGATAATAATTCACTGAGTTAGAAGGAGTTCTGACAGGTATGACTCACGACCAGCTCGATATTGGGCCTAGAGGGTCACACACATATGGTAGGTATTGCGATGAGTAGAGGTTCAGATATGAGATATCTGAGCCCTTGTCTTATTGGATATCCAATAAGCACCTGATTATTGGATCCCATAGACGAGATCCAATAAGAACCCATGAGAGATTATTGGATAGAGATCTACTAATCTAAAAGGCTTGGGTTATTGGATGCAGATCCAATACCTACTAGGGGAGGATCCATTAGGGTTTGACAAGAGACCTCTATAAATAGGAGGGATTTAGAGCCTCATAGGCTAGAGCCTTTGCTTGCCTCTCCTATTCTCCTCCCCCTCTCCACCTCAGAGCAGGCCTAGAGTTTTGAGAAGCGTCGTCGTAGCCTTGCTGTGTGAATTACCGCTAGAGAGGAGGACGCTTGACCTCCTTCACCCTCTCTTAAAGATCTACAAGGAAACATGGATATACGATCTCCCTAGGTAACACAATCTACTCTATACGCAGTTTTAAGTTTCGCGGATTTTGCGCACCAATCTTCGCATGACGATGAACATCTCTTTGGGAATCGGGGATTTTGTTTTCTTGTTCTTCCACTGCGCATGTGATGTCGCCCCCAAGATTTTCCAACAGCGCCCAGGCGAGGAGTTCCCTCCCGGAAGAAACGACTGTCCCGTCGAGACCGGACCAACGTAGTCGGCTACCTCAGCACTCTCAAGGGTAGTCCAGAAAGATCCCCGCTCATTTGGACTCGAACCCAACCGTGTTGGCTCCGAGACCACGGCTTAATGTTGTTGACACTAACAAAACTCACCACACAATCTCGGATCCATGTTTCGATTCCGCTGGAAGAAATCAAGCGGGTCGAATCAGGTCAGCCCACCGAGTCGAGTCTTGGTTGAGTGGATTAGGCTCGATACCTTCGCTCAATCCGACTCGATTCAACTCGTTCCTGATTGAACTCGGATTTGGTCATTCATGTGGCAGTCGTCACCTTCCCTGTCTCTTCCCTCCCCCCGCGCGGATTCCTCTACAGGCCTCTCCGTACAACGACACTGCCGCAAGTGACCAACAGCTACGCACCAACAGCCGGACCACACGCTACAGCTGGAAAATTCCGTCACGTTGGCTTCCATCTTCCTTTCTTCTCCTCCTCGGCCCGATCTTGAGCAGTGCGCAAATCAAACACGCATTGCACGGATCAAGCAGCTGGCTTTTGTTCGCCCTGTCGGCCGGGTTGCATCAACTTTACAATGCAAGCTGGCCTCGCCATACCCCTCCCCACCTTCCTCCCCACTCACCTTATCAAACTCAGCGCACAAGCAGCAGCAGCAGCAGCAGTCCGCGTTCCGAAGCCCCACCATTGCTATCTCCTGCCCATTGCCAACCCATAGATCTGTGGCAACCTCCCATCCTATATAAACGTACCATTCAACCTCACTCCTCACCACATCCTACTACTGCTACTATCACTGTGTTAATTCGGGCATTGGTTCAGCTACTTTTGCTCCACTGCCGCTGTTGGTATCATGGTGATACGATTCTTCCTGATAGCTTGCTCCTTGGCGGCCATCGCCACGGCAGGCAACTTCTACCGGGACTTCGACATCACCTGGGGTGACGGCCGCGCGAAGATCCTCGAGGGCGGCCAGCTCCTCACCCTTACCCTCGACAAGACCACCGGTTCGGGATTCCAGTCCAGGAACGAGTACCTCTTTGGCAAGATCGACATGCAGATCAAGCTCGTGCCCGGTAACTCCGCCGGCACCGTCACGGCTTACTATGTGCGCCCTCGTTGCCCTTTCCTCATCGTGAATCGTTGGATACTCTGAAGCCCTGGGTTGGAGGTGGAGAACTGATTCGTTGTGTTGCTTGCTGTGTGCAGTTGTCCTCGCAAGGGCCGACGCACGACGAGATCGACTTCGAGTTCCTGGGCAACCTCAGCGGCGATCCGTACACTCTCCACACCAACGTGTTCACCCAGGGAAAGGGGAACAGGGAGATGCAGTTCAAGCTCTGGTTCGATCCCACCAAGGATTTCCACACCTACTCCATCCTCTGGAACCCAAGACATGTCATGTGCGTATTCCACTCGATATGCTGCCTACTCTCATTCCATTACAGTTATGCTCACCATGAATCTGCATCAACCTTTCAGCTTCATGGTGGACGGCACGCCAATCCGAGACTTCAAGAACCTGGAGTCGAGGGGCATCGCGTTCCCCAAGAACCAGCCCATGAGGATCTACTCCAGCCTCTGGAATGCCGACGACTGGGCGACCAGAGGCGGGCTGGTGAAGACCGACTGGTCCAAGGCGGCGTTCACGGCGTCGTACAGAGACTTCAGGGCTGACGCTTGCGTTCCATCTTCTGCCGCCTCCAGGTGTGCTTCCAACGCGGCTCCCGGCAACAGCGGGTGGTGGAACCAGGAGCTGGACTTGACAGGCCAACAGAGGATGAAGTGGGTGCAGAGGAACTACATGGTCTACAACTACTGTAGTGACCTCAAGAGGTTCCCTCAGGGCCTGCCGCCAGAGTGCTCCATTGCCTGAGAGAGAGAGAGAGAGAGAGAGAGAGGAAGCACTGTTATTCTTTGATTGATTTTAATCTTCTTATGTAGGCTGCTGATAAATATTCCATATTCTCTCTCTCTCTTTATCTCTCTTTTTATCTCTGTCTCTCATGGTTATACAACTTAAGAGGGCCAAAAAGCTACGGTAATGCTATAAAAGAATAATCGAAAACTTTACAAGGCCATCAAGATCAAATTTGGAGGAGCCCAATGACCCGACTATCCGAATGGGTAGAACGGAGGAGCCCAATGACCCGACTAATCTTCCTGGAACAAAATTGACCTCTTGTGGTGTATGCTTTGGTGTTAATATAACCCCAAAATGATCATCTTGATCTTGTGGTATAAGAATTTTTGTCCATGTGAGTCGAGATAAGGCTCATTCATAGGAGCTGGATACCATGTAATAAATACCATGCAATGGAAATATGTTTATATGTATACTATACGATACTAATTGCACTGTTTTGAAGATGAGGACACTTAAGTTGAACACCATGTGAGATTTGAAATACATGATGATTCGAGTTTAAGATAGGTTGGACCATTTGAGAACATAGATATCTATGTTCAAGAAATTTGTTCAAGATTCTACTAGTGTAATTGAACTAGCACAATTGGAATTTCGAAGATCGATTATCCTTAACTACATTCTGACTTTGGGATGTAAATTAAACTTTTTGTTAAGAGAAAAAAATACAATAACTATTTTTTACCTAATTGCAAATAATTATTTAAGAGAATAATTTTTACCGCCTCATGCAACCGACTTGATCCTCTCTATTAAGAAAACAAAAAAAAAATTAAGAAGAAGAGAAAAGAAATAGAGGGGAATTTTTTATATATGTTTCTATTTTTGGAAGACATCATTAAGATATTCATGAAATTATGATTGGAATCATGATTTAGTGATGTTAGGAATTTTCTGTTAATTTAGGAGTTATGGTAATAAGGAACTAGATTCAGAACAATAATATTAGGCCATCGTTACAGTTAATTAGGTCTAATTCGATTCAAGCCTTATCTAATCTGATTAGGTATTACTCTTTAAACTAAGTATTACTCTTAAGATGCATGTTAAAAGACAACTTAATCAAATACATATATGATGAAGTCAAACATAAGTACGGATGCTAAACATCATATTAACTTGTTTGTTTCTATACTAATTAATCATTTCAAATGAAAACCCCATGACATCTTGATAATAATCAACAATAGATTATTGGTTATGTTACAATCAACATAGACACTGAGTTCTGTCTTAGCTACATTGGGAATTAATTTTCCAAGTATTTCTGTTGTACAAATTGAAAATTCACGTTTCGTTCCTCTCTCTCTCTCTCTCTAACTGATGTTATTTTAGATGTTCAGATGGTTGAGATTACTTGACTTGGAAGGCGGCAGAAGAGAGATAAACTTTCTGCATCAATGTTCATCTTTCTGCATCAATTGTTGCCTGATAAGCTATTTCTTCCTTCCATATTGTTCATGTAAACATAAATCAGTGCTCATCTTTCTGCATTAATTGTTGCGTGATAACCTATTTTTTTCCTGGCATATTGTGGCATGCCATATAGAAAATTTTATATAAATAGGAGTAGCACAGTCAGCCCTTCTTTCGATAAAAATTACGTTGATTTAAAGATTTGTAAGTGATCGAGGCAGTGAGCAAGTAAATCAAGAGAATAAAAAACATGAAAGAAATGACACAGAAAGCAAGCACACCAGATTTATGATAGTTCGATCATCGTGATCTACATTCACTCCTGATTTTTCTTCCGTTGAGACCATCAGTGTTTACTAATGGTATTCCTTCAACGGGTATAGACTAACTATCCTTTTACAACTCTTTTTTTCTTTTCACAGGTTTATGAGATAATCTTTATAACCACTTAACCCTCCCTTAAACAGAAATTACACTCTTAGAGAAGAGAGAAACTCTCAAGATTATAATAGAATTTTTCCCTATTTACGTTCTCAGTTCATATGTTAATCGTGCAAGAATGAGTAAAGTTTTTATAGGTCCTAAATGATTTCAAAATTGAGCTAAAAATATAAATTCTCGGGATTTCAGTGTATTGGCGGTACCACCGCTAGTACTTTTTGACATTGGGCGATACCACCACCCAGTCTGGCGGTACTACCGCTTGACATACTAATACTGAGTAATACCATCGCTTGACACAATCTAGAAAACTATGTCAGGACAGTACCATCGCCTAGTCTGGGTGGTACTACCAATATACTCTACCCCAAGACATTGAATGGGCCAAATAACATTCCCTACTACAGGACATTGAATAAGCTAAATAATAGGCGGTACCATCGCCTAATTGTGTTTGGGTGGTACCACCACCTAACACAGTTTGAGAGACTATGTTAGGGCGGTACCACTACCAGACCCTACTACAGGACATTAAATAGACCAAATAACAAAACCAATTTAGCCCTAATTCAGACCCAATTGGTCCCTAATTGAGTTGACATTGTTTCACCCCAATGTTGACTCAATTAGATCTAAACTAACTTAATCTAGATAAATTATTTCAAAACACGAATCATATATTGTTTGGTATGTCATTGGTTTTTTCGATACTTCATCCGATCCTTCGGCACATCATCCTCTCTTTCAGCATATTGCCTAATCGGCATGTTGACTCTCGTAATTTTCGATTTCTTTGGTGCAATTTCCGATCCTTCGGCTCGATGCCCGAACTTATGGCACGAAGTCCTTCTACCGGCACGTCGATCGATCCTCTGACCTGACATCCAATCTCCTGATATGTTCAACTCCGGCCCAACATTCAATTCCTCTTGCTTCAATCAATTTTCCTCTCTTTGATCAAAGCTAGTCCTGTTTACTCAAAATATAGATTAGATCATAAACTTATCAATTGATTTCATCGTCAAAATCTAATATTAACGCACCTAAAACTTTACATTTGAATCTAGATAAGAATGTATCTATTTCATTCAGTAAGTTAATCTAGGGATAATTAAAATAGTTAATAAGACAAAAGCTTAGGGTTAATTGAACTAATCATATTGATAATATCAAAATTGATCATCAATTTGATTTAGGATTATTAATTTAATGTAATTCTTAGAGACTAAATATATGAGATATAATTTTAGTAATCTTAGCAATAGGAATAGATAGTAGAACATAGTTAAATTGGATAAGCAAAAAGTTTCTTTGACTAAAAATTTTAAACCTTAGAACAATTATTTAATAAGATGGAAAGATCGATAAATATATTATTCATAGAGTAAAATTAGGATGGTAAACATGATGATGAGTGTTTCGATCTTGTGTGACCTGGATATCTTTGAAATTTAAAAAATATTTTATATGATAGTTGTGAGACCAATAATATTTTATGTATCTAACTATTGATCAATTAAGAAATAATATATAGAAAAAGATTTATGTTTGCTAGATCAAAATATTGAGTTAGATGTGTAGAGTTATTTGAAAAGATAGAAAAAAATATATTTTTATCTATGAATAATTATGTATCATTTCTATAGATAACAAGGTGAGAAAAAATTATTTAAAATGATATGATTATATGCTTACAAGACATCGGGATGCAATAATGTTAGTTGTATAATGATAGATAAAGAAAGATTAAGATAACAAAGTGTTCTAATATTTAAGTACAAGGATAGGTAAAATAATTAAATAAAGTGTTCTTTATTTAAACATTATTAGCTTAATTTTTACTTTGTCATCATCTTTTTTTTCTTTCACATGACATAAAAGATTAGAATAACAAAGTTACGTGGGTGTGAAGTGAGTTTATCTAGTAATATAGTAATAACACATATAAAGTAATTCGACTAAGTATTCCTTATACTCGAATAATATGTAAAGGCCTTTTGCATTCCATATACTTCAATCAGTCATACAACAAACCTCGTTCCCATACTACAAACCTCATTCGACTAGGTGTTTCTTATAATTGAATAATATAGTGATAACACATATAAAGTAATTTGACTATGTGCTTCTTATAATTGAATAATATGTGAAGATCTTTTGCATTCTTTATGATTGAATTCCCATAAAAATTACCTTCAATTAGTAATACAACAAACCTCATTTGTATGAGGCAGTCACTTTTCAGTAATATTTTATTATTGGTAATATTTCCGTTTCTCTTTAATCGATAACAATGTGTAGAAACTATCCCAAGTAACCTAGCCATGATTTCAAAACTAACTATTTTGATTCCTAACTTTTGGGAATAAGCATTGAACCTCATGGGATTGGTTCTGGTTTTGATTCCAACCACCGATCCCCCATTTTTTTACTTTGAAAAGTGGATGTTTTCAAATACATGTAATGAATCTAGTGAAATTATAATTTGATATTAATTTATAAAATTATTAATTGATATGTTAAATGAATATTTGTTCTCTTCACGAACAATCTCTTATTTTAGTTTCTCAATAGTTTGAGAGAGGAGTTTTTAATATTTTTCTTACAATCATTGTGGAAATAGAAAATAAAGTATATATTTTGGACCTGAGACTTGAAGATGTTCCACTTAATATTGACTTCCTCTAATTTGATGCTAAAGCATTGGCTTTTTTTGAGTTAGCATGACTCAGCTTTTAAAGTGTAATCATCGATAATTTTTTCCTTAATATAAATTAATTAATATAAATAATATATTATTTTATTTAAATTATTAATTTTCTTTTTTATATAGTATGGTTAAGGAAATTATTAAAATTGATTTGTATTAATTATGTGGATATGTTAGAAATTTTAGCAATTATTTAAATTATTAATTAATTTATTTCCTAATGAGTGATGTGATTTTTAGGAAATAATAGTTTATATTCCATTTTTGTATGTAAATCATAAGAAATGTTTATCTTTGTGTGTGAAAGTAAAAGAAAAATAAATTAAAAAAATTAAAAATAAAAATTAAATTATTATTTATTTTTCAGAAAAATATCATTTTATACTATTAAAAAGGGTTTCTTCTCCCTCATTTCTCACGTAGCCTGAAGAATTGATAAGAGAATTTTTCGATAAGAGAATAGTCGAGGAAAGGTAGGATCCTATATTTTTTTTTAATTA